TCCTGAAATTTGTTTTACCTATCTCTGTTTCTTTGTATTCAGAAATGGTTTATTAGGATATGAAATAATTGAACATATATTTAAGAAAAAAATGATTTTCTTGTTGATGTCTCAGATTTCTATTTATAAGACTGATTCTTGTAAGGAAAAACTGGGGACCTTAAGATTTTGCTAAGTGAGGGAGGTGGCCTGTTTATTTAGGTCAGTCTTTTTCCCCTGTGGGATTTTGTTGGGTGGTTTGATATAAAACTGTAATTTACGTTGTAGTCAAAAGTGAGATCAAAGGAAAATACTGTTACCTGAGGCATGAAAATAGGAGATAGCATTAAGATTTAGAATTTTTCTTGATTTTTGTTTCTTTTAAAAATAACTTAGGCCGGGCACGGTGGCTCAAGCCTGTAATCCCAGCACTTTGGGAGGCCGAGGCGGGTGATCACCAGGTCAAGAGATCGAGACCATCCTGGTCAACATGGTGAAACCCTGTCTCTACTAAAAATACAAAAAATTAGCTGGGCATGGTGGTGCGTGCCTGTAATCCCAGCTACTCAGGAGGCTGAGGCAGGAGAATTGCCTGAACTCAGGAGGCGGAGGTTGCGGTGAGCCGAGGTCGGTCATGCCATTGCACTCCAGCCTGGGTAACAAGAGCGAAACTCCGTCTCAAAAAAAAAAAAAACAAAAAAAAAAAACTTGCAATTGAAACCTGAGTTTAGAGCAGCAGAATGCCATTTGAATAAAGGCCTCTCATTGTAGTGGTAACTAGGATACCTCTTAGATAATTTTAAGTATACAAGAAAAGCAACAACTAAATTGGATTCTTCATTTATCACATGTAAAAGGTAGTAGTTGTTGTCTTTGTATTAAGGAAGTCTCCTGTTTTTAAAATGTAGGAATGTTTGGAGTGAAACATTAGGAAATTGAATAGAAAAATTGTCTTTTCTTTCTTTCTTTCTTTTTTTTTTTTAATGGGATGGGGTTTCACCATGATGGCCAGGCTGGTCTTGAACTCCTGACCTCAGGTGATCCACCCACCTTGGCCTCCGAAAGTGCTAGGATTACAGGCGTGAGCCACCCTGCCCAGCTGGCTTTGTCTTTTAAAAAAGGAATAGGCCGGATGGTGGCTCACGCCTGTAATCCCAGCACTTTGGGAGGCAGAGGCGGGTGGATCACGAGGTCAAGAGATCGAGACCATCCTGGTCAACATGGTGAAACCCCGTCTCTACTAAAAATACAAAAAAAATTAGCTGGGCATGGTGGCGCGTGCCTGTAATCCCAGCTACTCAGGAGGCTGAGGCAGGAGAATTGCCTGAACCCAGGAGGCGAAGGTTGCGGTGAGCCGAGATCGCGCCATTGCACTCCAGCCTGGGTAACAAGAGCGAAACTCAGTCTCAAAAAAAAAAGGAATAGAAGGAAGCAGTTTTAAAAAATACATTACTTGAGTTTTATGAAGACTTATTTCTGAATTATGTGATTCATATGACATCAGGAAAATTTTAAATAATGCTCTCTGGTCTTTATTTTTAAGATATTGACTCCTGAGGATGTGAAAAGCTTATTTTATCATGGTTTTTAAGATGGAAAGGCTTAAGAAAGGAATGAGAATACTGTGTTGCTAAACTAGAGGCAGCCTCAAGATGTTTCTGAAAATCAAGGTCTCTGAAGAGCACAGATGGTGAAGTTTGTAGTTCTAATTTAATAGATCAGAAAGGAAATACTTAAAATTCTGTAGAGGACCTTCTTTTTCTTTTTAATCTCAGATTTAACCTCGAGACCATTAGATTCTAAGCTGTGTGTGGTGGTGCACACTTGTAGTCCTGGCTTCCGGGAGGCTGAGGCAGGAGGATCACTGGAGCCCAGGAGTTGGAGATTATAGTGAGCTATGATGGTGCCCGTGCACTTTAGCCTGGGAGACAGAATGAGACCCTGGCTCAAAGAAACAAAAATAAAATGCTGCTAGATTCTTACTATTGCAGTAGACAGTACTTCCAGAAGGCCCAAATTTGTCCTTTGATTAATCACAGTTGATCAGTGAAATTTGTCTTTCTGTTGTCAAATGTTATGAATTGTTTTGTTTTGTTTTGTTTTGTTTTTTAACTCAAAGTAGTTCTCAAAGCAGACCCTCTGCATTGGATTAGCGATTGTTAAGTATCAATCCTAATTTGATTTAAACAAAAAAGCTTATTTTGGGGATTTTTCAGGGAAAGGAAAATTGTTTTAATTTGAATTCACTTAAATTGGGCTTTCTTGGAAACGTACAGAGAACTGTTCGTATTCTGTCGCTAAGAAATTTGGAATGAGTTAAATTTCATTCAGGGCAAGATAGAAAATTGCTAAACCACACTAATTTCTAGGGGGGTTTTTTGTTTGTTTTCGCCATAGTGATTAGTGAAATCAGGTGACCTGGATATGAGGCCTCACTCTGCACTTGACTCCTGAGTGATCTCAGGCAGTTGCCCTTTGATGAGTCAGTTTTTCTCATGTACATGTAGGCACTCCCACTCTGGGGACTTCAGTGTCCTCACCCATAAAATGGGAACGATAATACTCTAGTACATCATTATGTAATAAATGTCACGGATAGGAGTGTGTCATGCATACAATCCTTGTGGAGCCAGAAGGAAGGTTGAAAGCCACTGTTGGTACTCAGAACTAAAAAAATCAGTCACTTGATAAAGGTAATTTTTTTAATTTAATTTTTTTTTTTTTTTTTTAAATAGACGGGGTTTCACCCTTTTGGCCAGGCTGGTCTCGAACTCCTGACCTCAGGTGATCCACCCGCCTCGGCCTCCCAAAGTGCTGGGATTACAGGCGTGAGCCACTGTGCCTGGCCATATGTATTTAATTTTTTAAGGGGTCTTGGTATGTTGCCCGGCTGTACTCAAACTCAGAGGCTCAAGTGATCCTTTCCTCAGCCCTCTGAATAGCTGGAATTATAGGCAGGCACCACTGATGGATCTATTTTTCAATTAGAGTTTGAATTGAGTCTAGTTTAGGAAGGTATCTATAACTGTGTAATATATTGGTTTAAAAAAAAAAAAACAGTTTGCCATGCTAGAGAATTCCTGCTTTGCTTAAATAAGTGGAGCTCACTGACAGGCATAAGGCTGTTCCTTGAAGTCATTATTCACCTTGTAGCATGTAGGTTGGATCACCTATAGACACGGAAAGAGTAAAGAACTTGTCTGAATCTTTTCTAGGTCATTCTAGGAGACCCTTTCAATGGCAATCGCCAGCGGCTGATAGAACTAGAAACCCAGGCTGGGCACAGTGGCTCACCCCTGTAATCTCAGCACTTTGGGAGGCTGAGGTGAGAGGATCACTTGAGGTTAGGAGTTTGAGACCAGCCTGGCTAGCATGGTAAAACCCCATCTCTATTAAAAATACAAAAATTAGCCCAGTGTGGTGGCACATGACTGTAATCCCAGCTACTTGGAGGCTGAGGCAAGAGAATTGCTTGAACTTGGGAGGTAGAGGTTGCAGTAAGCTGAGATGGTGCCACTGTACTCCAGCCTGGGCAACAGAGTGAGACTCTGTCTCAAAAAACAAAACAAAACAAAACTAGAAACCCCGTCAAAAAGGCAGGACCTCTGGTGACTGGAATTAGTTGAAAACGTTTGTTTGAATCAACTGTTACTTTCCCTGTTACTTCCTACTAGCTTTCTTTGATAGTGCTGTGGGCATTTGGAGTTGGAATGGTCACAGTAAACTCAGGGGATTCAAGAGAAGAAAAGTTTTTTTTTTCCCCTACCTCTTGTGTTTTTTTTAATTTTAAATTCCTTCCACCCCACCTAGTGAAAGATATTCTGCTAATGATTTATGGTTTTGATCAGTTTTTTTTTTTTTTTGACACGGAGTTTCGCTCTTGTTACCCAGGCTGAAGTGCAATGGCGTGATCTCGGCTCACTGCAACCTCCGCCTCCTGGATTCAGGCAATTCTCCTGCCTCAGCCTCCTGAGTAGCTGGGATTACAGGCACGAGCCACCATGCCCAGCTAATTTTTTGTATTTTTGGTAGAGACGGGGTTTCACCATGTTGACCAGGATGGTCTTGATCGCTTGACCTCGTGATCCAACCCGCCTTGGCCTCCCAAAGTGCTGGGATTACAGGCTTGAGCCACCGCGCCCGGCGACTATATAGGTTTTGAGTGTTAAGTGTTTGGTGATGTGATAAAATGGCTGTCAGATTCCAGGGATCTGACTATACCAGGTGTTGGTAAACTATGGCCCATAAGTCAGATCTTGTCTACAGCCTGTTTTTGTATTGCCCATAAGCTAAGAATGATTTTTACATTTTTAAGAGGTTATAAAAATCAAGAAAATGAGAAGACAGCTGCAGACTGCAGAAGACATATCTGTTAAAGGACTGTTATCCAGAATATACAAATAGCTCTTAAAACTCAGCAATAAAAAAGCAAAAACAACCCAATTAAAAATATGGGCCAGCCAGGTATGATGTCTCACACCTGTAATCCCAGCTAGGCAGCTGAGGTGGGAGGATTGCTTGAGGCCAGATGTTGGAGACAAGCCTGGGCAGTATAGTGAGAACTCATGTCTAAAAAATTTTTTAATTAGCTGGGCATAATGGCATGCACAACTGTAGTCCCTGCTCCTCGAGAGGCTGAGGTGGGAGAATCGCTTGAGCTCAGGAGTTCTAGGCTGCAGTGAGCCATGATTGTGCCACTGTGCTCTAGCCTGGGCAATGGAGAGAGACCCAGTCTCTTTAAAGAAAAAAAAGGGCAGAAGGCCTAAATAGACACCTTACCAGAGAAGATAAATGATGACAAGTGAGCACATAAAAAGATGTTCAGCATCATAAGTCATTAGGAAATTGCAAATTAAAAAATTGATTTAAACAGGTTTACCAAGCCCTGGACTATATCACTGTAGAAATAGAAGATGAGGTTGTTCAGCCTCTCAGTTACCATGCCCAGTTCTCTAGTTCTCCTGGGCACTTGTTGTCTCTAATGGTAAAGATGTTCTTATGAATTTCTGTTTCATTTGCAGGTATATGAATGACCTAAAGCTGCAAATAAAGACGGAGAGAGAGCAGTGCCAACTGGGAGCAGGGCAAGAATGCCAATTCCTCCTCCCCCACCACCCCCACCTGGTCCTCCTCCACCGCCCACATTTAATCAGGTAGGTAGTCCTTCCATCAGGCTATCTCAAAACTTTTGAGTAAATAGGTTGATGGTCCTCACATACTGTTGTTTTTTTAACCCCTTTTGATTAACATTTCTAGATTTTCCTGTCCATAGCATTCCTATTCTTTAATTCTGTTTTTAACATTCCAGATTTTTATTCCTGGTATTAAAGGACACATAGGGTGTCCTTATACAAGACATAGTGTATAATCAATGACATGTGGTATAGGAAGGTGGAGAGTAAACAAGTCCATCTTGATCAGTTGGTTCTGATTCCTGAGAGGTCTTCTTAGGACCATGATGGTGTGTCTGGTTTCCTTGTTCCACTTTATTCTAAATGGAGATTTGGACAGGTGGCATTGGAGTAAGAGCTAATGTTTTCCGTTAAATCTATTTGCTGTATAAAAGTGAGTATGTTGTTTCTTTGGCATTTTTGAGAAAAGGGCTGAGGATTCTTAGTGGTTGTTTCTTGCTACCGCTTCATCTGTTTTATTCAAAATCAGTTCCTTTTAAAGCCAAGTCCATTAGCTCTAACACCTTACTAAGAAGGAAAGGAGTTTTGGGAATGTTTTGGTTAGAAGACTGAAAGATTCAGTAACAGGAAAAAAAAAGCAATGTGATTTTTGAACCAAGCAGGCACTGCACTCCAGCCTTGGCAACAGAGTAAGACTCTGTCTCAAAAATAAAAATAAAGCATAACTTGTCTGGTTATAGTGGGGGTAGAAAGAGGAGGCAGTCAATGAAGGCTTCTAGGTAGGTGGTGATACTTGAGCTGAGTCTTAAACCTTGAGTAGAGTTTAGCCAAAAAGAGAGGAGGGAGGGAGGGCACTTGAAGCAGAGGAACCAGAGTGTGGAAAGGTACTGATTTGGAATTAATTAATTAATTAATTAATGAGACAGAGTCTCATTCTGTTGCCCAGGCTGGAGTGCAATGGTTGTGATCATAACTCACTGCAACCTCTAATTCCTGGGCTCAAGTGATCCGCTTGCCTCCGCTTCCCAAGTAGTGGGGACTACATGGGCATGACACTGCACTTAGCTAATTAAAAAGAATTTTTTTTTTTTTTTAAATAAAGGCAGAGTCTCACTTTGTTGCCTAGGCTGGTCTTGAACTCCTGGCTTCAAGTGATCCTCTTGTTTGAGCCTCCGAAAGTGCTGGGATTACAGATTTGAGCCACTGTGCCAGCCTCGTGCTGATTTGTAAGAAAGCATATAGAGGTTTAGATTATTGCTTGAGGTGATGTGGTAGCAGATGCAGCTGGAGATGTAGGCTGAGGGTTTAGATTTTTCTTCTGGTGATCATGAGGAGTTGTTGAAATATTTTCAACAGCAAGAGTAACCTGTTTGTGCACCTTTCAAATACAAGTACAGTTGGGGAGATTGAGGGTTGGGGTTGAGCCTGGAGACAGAAGGCCGTTGCCATTGAAAGTTTAGGTCTGGCTGCCCATGGTGGCTCATGCCTGTAATCCCAGCACTTTGGGAGGCCAAGGCGGGTGGAATATGAAGTCAGGAAATCAAGGCCAGCCTGACCAACATGGTGAAACCCCGTATCTACTGAAAATACAAAAATTAGCCAGGCATGGTGGCACGTGCCTGTAATCCCAGCTACTCAGGAGGCTGAGGCAGGAGCATTGCTTCAACCTGGGAGGCGGAGGTTGCAGTGAGCCGAGATCGTGCTGCTGCACTCCAGCCTGGAATACAGAGCAAGGCTCTCTCTCAAAAAAATAAAATAAAATAAAATGTAGGTCTGAGGCTGGGCACAGTAGCTCATTCCTGTAATCCCAGACCTTGGCGGGCCGAGGAGGGTGGATCACCTGAGGTTGGGAGTTCAAGACCAGCCTCGCCAACATGGTGAAACCCTGTCTCTACAAAAATAGAAAAAAAGTTACAAAAATAGAAAAAAAGTTAGCCAGGCATGATGGCGGGTGCCTGTATCCCTGCTACTTGGGAGGCTGAGGCAGGAGAATCGCTTGAACCCAGGAGGTGGAGGTTGCAGTGAGTGGAGATTGAGCTATTCCACTTCAGCCTGGGCGACAGAGCAAGACTCCCATCTCAAAAAAAAGAAAGTTTAGGTCTAGACTAAAGCAATGAGCATGGACAGTGGGTTTAGAAAGTGAAATCTTTCTCTTTTTTTTTTTTTTTTTTTTTGTAATGCTCAGTGTATGATATGAAATCTTTCTTTGTGGTTTTTTTTTTTTTTTTTTTGAGACAGAGTCTCACTCTGTCACCCAGGCTGGAGTACAGTGGTGTGATTGTGGCTCGCTGTAGCCTCTAACTCCTGGGTTCAAGTGATTCTCATGCCTCAGCCATCCGAGTGGCTGGGATTTCAGGATTGCATCACCATCCCCAGCCAACTTTTATATTTTTAGTAGAGACAGGGTTTCACCAAGTTGGCCAGGCTAGTCTCGAATCCCTGACCTCAGGTGATCTACCTACCTTGGTTTCCCAGAGTACTGGGATTACAGGCATGAGCCACCACAGCAAGTCCTATGTATTGTTTTTTTAAATGTTTTACTTGACGAGGCCAGGTGCAGTGGCCACACTTTGGGAAGCCAAGGCCTGTGGATCACTTGAGGTCAGGCGTTCGAGACCAGCCTGGCCAACATGGCGAAACCCTGCCTTTACTAAAAATACAAAAGAAATTAGCCGTGTGTGGTGGCATACACCGTAGTCACAGCTGCTTGGGAGGCTGAGGGACAAGAATCTTTTGAAGCTGGGAGGTGGAGGTTGCGTAAGTTGAGATCACACAACTGCCCTCTAGCCTGGGCAGGAGAGGAAGATGCTGTCTCAAAAAAAAAAAAAAAAAATTTTACTTGATTGTGTCAAACATTATTGCTGTAAAAAGATACTGATTTTTAAATATTTGAGAGCTTCATTGGCATCCCCTTGTATGCTTATATTATCATTGTTCCTTTTGATTTAACTTTTTTTTTTTTTTTTTTTTTTGAGACGGAGTTTTGCTCTTGTTACCCAGGCTGGAGTGCAATGGCGCAATCTCGGCTCACCGCAACCTCCGCCTCCTGGGTTCAGGCAATTCTCCTGCCTCAGCCTCCTGAGTGGCTGAGATTACAGGCACGTGCCACCATGCCCAGCTAATGTTTTTTTTGTATTTTTAGTAGAGACGGGGTTTCACCATGTTGACCAGGATGGTCTCGATCTCTCGACCTCGTGATCCACCCGCCTCGGCTTCCCAAAGTGCTGGGATTACAGGCTTGAGCCACCGCGCCTGGCTGATTTAACTTTTTTTTTCAGTTTTATGCTATTAGAAATAGTTTTTTGCCATTATTAGCGTCATTGCACACAGTTGTTTTTTTTTTTTTTTTTTTTTTTTGAGATGGAGTTTTGCTCTTGTTACCCAGGCTGGAGTGCAATGGCACGATCTCGGCTCACCGCAACCTCCGCCTCCTGGGCTCAGGCAATTCTCCTGCCTCAGCCTCCTAAGTAGCTGGGATTACAGGCACGCGCCACCACGCCCAGCTAGTTTTTTGTATTTTTAGTAGAGACGGGGTTTCACTATGTTGACCAGGATGGTCTCGATCTCTCAACCTCGTGATCCACCTGCACACAGTTGTTTTAAGATAAATTCCTAGAAGTAGAATTCTTGTGCCAGACAGTTAAAAAATTTTTTTCTTTCTTATTTTTAAAAATAATAATAATAAAATTTCTTTTCTAAGATGAGGTTTCACCATGATGGCCAGGCTGGTCTTGAACTCCTGACCTCAGGTGATCCACCCACCTTGGCCTCCCAAAGTGCTAGGATTACATGCGTGAGCCACTGTGCCCGGCGCCAGACATTTTTAAGGCTTCTTTTTTTTTTTGAGATGGAGTTTTGCTCTTATAGCCCAGGCTGGAGTGCAATGGCATTAGCTCACTTGAGCCTTTACCTCCTGAGTTAAAGCGACTCTCCTATCTCAGTCTCCTGAGTAGCTAGGACTATAGGCATGGGCTACTATGCCTGACTAATTTTATTTATATTTTTAATAGAGATGGGGTTTCACTATGTTGGCAAAGCTGGTCTCAAACTCCTGACTTCGGGTGATCTGCCTGCCTCATCCTCCCAAAATGCAGGGATTATAGGCGTGAACCACCATGCCTGGCATGGGCGTTTTTTTTTGTTTTTTTTATTTTATTTTATTTTTTTGAGATGGAGTCTCACTCTGTTGCCAGGCTGGAGTGCAGTGGTGCAATCTTGGCTCACTGCAACCTCTACCTCTCGGGTTCAAGTGATTCACCTGCCTCAGCCTCCTGAGTAGCTGGGTCTACAGGCACGTGTCACAATGCCCAGCTAATTTTTTGTATTCATTAGTTCGTTCATTTATTTTTTCCAGACAGAGTCTTGCTCTGTTACCAGGCTGGAGTGCAGTCGTGCAATCTCAGTGCACTGCAGCCTCCGCCTCCTGGGTTCAAGCGATTCTCCTGCTTCAGCTTCCCGAGTAGCTGGGACTACAGGCTTGCGCCACCATGCCCGGCTAATTTTCGTATTTTTAGTAGAGACAGAGTTTCACCATGTTGGCCAGGATGGTCTTGATCTTTTGACGTTGTGATCCGCCCACCTCAGCCTCCCAAAGTGGTGGGATTACAGGTGTGAGCCACTGTGCCTGGCCCTGTTTTTATTTTTGAGATGGAATATCGCTCTGTCGCCCAGGCTGGAGTGCAGTGGCACAATCTTGGCTCATTGCAACCTCTACTTTCTGGGTTCAGGCAGTTCTCTACCTCAGCCTCCTGAGTAGCTGGAATTACAGGTGCCCACCACCACGCCTGGCTAATTTTTTGTATTTTTAGTAGAGATGGAGTTTTGCCATCTTGGCCAGGCTGGTCTTGAATTCCTGACCTTGTGATCCACCTGCCTTGGCCTCCCAAAGTGCTGGGATTACAGGCATATGCCACCGCGCCTGGCCTTTTCTATTTTTAGTGGAGTTGGGGTTTCACCATGTTGGCCAGATGGTCTCAATCTCTTGACCTCATGATCCGCCTGCCTTGGCTTCCCAAAATGCTGAGATTACAGTGGCATGAGCCACTGTGTCTAGCCCCAGCCTGGACATTTTTAAGGCTTTTGATACATATTGTTAAATTGCTTTCTAGAAAGATTATACCAATTTATCTTCTCCTAGGTAGTATAAAAGTGCCCTTTTCCCTGATTCCTTATAACTACCATAAATGCATTCATCTCATGCATTTTTTGAGCTTCCTCGGTGTGCCAGAGACTCTATAGCAGTGAGCAATGGTCCCTGCCTTCATGAACCCTGCTATCAAGAAGTTTTTGCAGTCTTTAGTAAAAAAGTTTTTTTTTTTTTTGGAGACGGAGTTTCGCTCTTGTTACCCAGGCTGGAGTGCAATGGCGCGATCTCGGCTCACCGCAACCTCCGCCTCCTGGGTTCAAGCAATTCTCCTGCCTCAGCCTCCTGAGTAGCTGGGATTACAGGCACACACCACCATGCCCAGCTAAATTTTTGTATTTTTAGTAGAGATGGGGTTTCACCTTGTTGACCAGGATGGTCTCGATCTCTTGACCTCGTGATCCACCCGCCTCGGCCTCCCAAAGTGCTGGGATTACAGGCTTGAGCCACAGCGCCTGGCCTTTTTTTTTTTTTTTGAGACGGAGTTTCGCTCTTGTTACCCAGGCTGGAGTGCAATGGCACGATTTCAGCTCACTGCAACCTCTGCCTCCTGGGTTCAAGTAATTCTTCCGCCTTAGACTCCCGAGTAGCTGGGACTACAGCTGTGCACCATCATGCCCAGCTAATTTTTGTATTTTTAGTAGAGACGGGGTTTGCCAGGCTAGTCTTGAACTCCTGACCTCAAATGAGCTGTTTTCCTTGGCCTCCCAAAGAGCTGGGATTAGAGGCGGGAGTCACCATACCCGGCCGATAAAGGAAACTATTTAGGGTGAATTTACATTCTTCTTATCTTCCAGGCAAACACAGAGCAGCCCAAGCTGAGTAGAGATGAGCAGCGGGGTCGAGGTGCCCTCTTACAGGACATTTGCAAAGGGACCAAGCTGAAGAAGGTGACCAATATTAATGATCGGAGTGCTCCCATCCTCGAGAGTGAGTCTGAGCTTCATTTCCTAGTAGGATCCCAGGAGTGACTTGGAGACTTGGCTGGGTTGTTGTTTTTTGGGGGGCTTGAGTGGGAGAATTTTGTCCTGGAATGTTCTTTCGCTGTCTTCTCATTCATTCTTGACCCTTGGAGACCATTCAGCCTTGACCCTTGGAGAGCATTCTCAGGATAAATGTTACCGTATCACCAGACACGGTGACTCATGCCTGTAAGCCCAATACTTTGGGAGGCCGAAGTGGAAAGATCACGTGAGCCCAGGAGTTTGAGGCTGCAGTGATCATGTCACTGGGCCACTGCACTCCAGCCTGGGCAACAGAGCAAGACCTGGTCTCTCTAAAAGAAAAAAATAAAAATTAAAAAAAAAAAAGAAGGCTGCCATCTCTTACAGTAACTAATGCTCATCAGGGCACATCCTTGACTGTCCTCTGAGGACACTGCCACATTCCTAGAAACCTCTGAACTGAAACCAAGGTTGGTTTTATGATGGCTACAAGTGTCTATTCCTATAGGCCTCTGGAGAGTGCTCACATAATGGTCCCTGATCCCTTAGCCTTCTATCTTTCATCTGAGATGTGGAGAGGAGAGCCCAGATAATTATGCCGAACATTTCTTTTGTTTTTTTAATACTGACTTTCGCTCTTGTTGCCCAGGCTAGAATACAGTGGCAGGGTCTTAGCTTCCTATAACCTCTGCCTCCTGGGTTCAAGCAGTTCTCATGCCTCAGCCTCCCAAGTAACTGGGATTGCGTGCCACCACACCTGGCTAATTTTTTGTATTTTTATTAAAGATGGGGTTTCACCATGTTGGCGAGGCTGGTCTTGAACTTCTGACCTCAGGTGATCCACCTGCCTTGGCCTCCCAAAGTGCTGAGATTACAGGCCTGAGCCTCTGCACCTGGCCCCTAAACATTTATTTAACCCACTTACCTCTTTGCCCTAAATAAAGGAAGATTGAACACTTGTTTCTTTTTGTTCGTTCTCTTTCATCACAACAAAGAGTTTCATCTCTATACAAAGCTGTGGAGCAGAGAGGCCTAGCTTTTTTTTTTCTTTTCTTTCTTTATTTTTTGAGACAGGGTCTCACTCTGTTTGTTGCTCAGGCTGGAATGCAGTGGTACGATCACAGCTCACTGTACCCTCAACTTCCCAGGCTCAATTGATCCTCCCATCTCAGCCCCCTGAGTAACTGAGACCATATAGGCATGCATCACCATGCCTGGGTAATTTTTGAAATTTTTGTAGAGACAGAGTCTTACTATATTGCCCAGGCTGCTCTTAAACTCCTGAGCTTAAGTAATCCTCCTGTCTTGCCTTCCCAAAATGCTGGGATTATAGGCATGAGTCCCTGTGCCAGGCCTGCTTTTTTAAATAGAAGGGCAAAAGCAAGACTGGTAACTCCAATAGGCCAGATAGGGGAGGGGTTTCCCCTCCTGATTGACTTGGTCACCAGCTCAGAGCATATGAAATGAAAACTTTACTGGTATGCTTTCCAGAGCCTAAAGGAAGCAGTGGTGGCTATGGCTCTGGAGCAGCTGCCCTGCAGCCGAAGGGAGGTCTCTTCCAAGGAGGAGTGCCGAAGCTTCGACCTGTGGGAGCCAAGGACAGTTCAGGTATCTGATGAGTACTTTCGAGGGATATTTCCCTGGTGTGTTAATTTCTGAATTGTCCCAGGTGGGCCATCTCAGGTTGAGGAGTGTGGTGGAGGTGGGGGGTGAGGGGAGAAAGACTTGGGAGCAAGGGAGGAGTTATAGAACAGAATACAGCAAAATCTGAGGGATTAAATGAAAGTGTATTCAATTTGGATAAAGAAAATGTGGTATATATACACTAGAATATTATTCAGCCTTAAAAAAGAAGGAAACTTCTGTCATTTCTGATAATACGGATGAACCTGGAGGACAGCACGCTAAGTGAAATAAGCCAGGCACAAAAAGACAAATACTACATGATCTCATTTATATGTGGGATCTGAAACAGTTGAATTCATTCCCAGAAGTAGAAAGTGAAATATTGGTTACTAGAGGCTGGGCAGTAGGAGTTGGGATGGGGAAAGGGGAGATGTTGGTCACAGGTTACAAAGTTTCAGTTAGACAGGAGGGGTAAGTTTTAGTGATCCATTGCAGTAGTCCTCAGTCTTTTTGGCACCAGGGACTGGTTTCATGGGAGGCAGGTTTTCCACAGATAGTGGGTGGGGGATGGTTTTTGGATGAAACCATTCCACCTCAGATTGTCAGGCATTAGATTCTCATAAGGGGCATACAATGTAGATCCCTCACATGTGCTGTTTACAGTAGGATTTGCCCTTCTATGAGAATCGAGCCCACCTGCTGGTCTGACAGGAGGCGGAGCTCAGGCAGTAATGCTTCTTGCTCACCTCCTGCTGTGTGCTTGGTTCTTGAAAAGGTCGCTGGCCCCAGGGCTTGGCGACCCCTGATCTGTTGCACAGCTTGGTGACTATACTTAATGTATATTTCAAAATTGCTAAAAGAGTAGATTTTATTTTATTTATTCCTTTTGTTTTTTTTCCTGAGACGGAGTCTTGCTCTGTTTGCCAGGCTGGAGTACAGTGGTGTGATCTCAGCTCACTGCAACTTCTGCCTCTCAGGTTCAAGCCATTCTCCTGCCTCAGCCTCCTGAGTAGCTGGGATTACAGGTGCAGGCTACCACGTCCGGCTAATTTTGTGTTTTTATAGAGAAGGGTTTTCTCCATGTTGGCCAGGCTGGTCTCAAACTCCTGACCTCAAATGATCTGCCTGCCTCAGCCTCCCAAAGTGCTGGGATTTCAGGCATGAGCCACCGCACCTGGCGTAGAGTAGATTTTAAGTGTTTTCACCATAAAAAAACAAATATGTGAGGTGATGGATATGTTAATTATTTAATTTTGATTTAATCATTCCACAGTGAATACATGTAACAAGACATTGTACCCCATAAATACATACAGTTATTACTTGGCAAAAATAAAGTAAAAATTTAAAATAAATAACAGTGTATCCTGGGCCTGAAACCATGTTAAAACCCAGAACTATGTAAGTCCTTTTCTTGCTGCCATGCAGGTTGCACTGAGGAGCTGGATAAGGTAGAGATACTGACCAGCATCTTTCTAGCTCTGTTGACCTTGCGTTGTCTGTGTATTTGTAGAGAATCTAGCTGGTAAGCCAGCCCTGCAGGTCCCCAGTTCTCGAGCTGCTGCCCCAAGGCCTCCAGCGTCTGCAGCCAGCGGGCGTCCTCAGGATGATACGGACAGCAGCCGGGCCTCACTCCCAGAACTGCCCCGGATGCAGAGACCCTCTTTACCGGACCTCTCTCGGCCCAATACCACCAGCAGTACGGGCATGAAGCACAGCTCCTCCGCCCCTCCCCCACCACCCCCCGGACGGCGTGCCAATGCACCCCCCACACCTCTGCCTATGCACAGCAACAAAGCCCCTGCCTACAACAGAGAGAAACCCTTGCCGCCGACACCTGGACAAAGGCTTCACCCTGGTCGAGAGGGACCTCCTGCTCCACCCTCAGTCAAACCACCTCCTTCCCCTGGGAATATCAGAACGGGACCAAGTGGCCAGTCTCTGGCTCCTCCTCCTCCGCCTTACCGCCAGCCTCCTGGGGTCCCTAATGGACCCTCTAGCCCCACTAATGAGTCAGCCCCTGAGCTGCCACAGAGACACAATTCTTTGCATAGGAAGACAGCAGGGCCTGTCAGAGGCCTAGCACCTCCTCCACCCACCTCAGCCTCCCCCTCTTTACTGAGTAATAGGCCACCTCCCCCAGCCCGAGACCCTCCCAGTCGGGGAGCAGGTAAGTGCTTGGAAGCACCTTTTTCCCTATCATGCTGCGAATTTATTTTATTTTTCCCCAGAGCACTCCTAGAAGACAATGATTTATTTATTCATTCAACTGAGTTTTTAATGTGTCAGATTTGTTGACAGGGAAACAGTAATAAATAGAAAAGACAATTCCTGTTTTGGACAATCAAACTAGTAGAATACGTAAATACATAGTATATAGTATGCTTTAGAGGATTATAAAGCAGAGTGGAGGAATAAGATATACTGGGTGGGAGGTTGGATGATGATTTCTTAAATTGGAGAAGTGGGGAGAGAGTCAGGACAGTCCTTACTGATACGGTAAAAATTTGACAAAGTAAGAAAGCGTAGTACATAAGATTGATTGCCAAAAAGAAAAGGAAAATAAAATTTGACAAAGATCTGAAGAAAATGATGAGTGAACTTAGTAGTTATCTAGGAGAACAGCTGTTGCAGGCAGTGGGAACAACAAATGCAAAGGCTCCTAAGGCGGAAGGATTCCTGAAACCTTTTGGGGACAGCAAGGGGACCACTGTGACAAGACTAGAGAGAGAGAGGGGAGGGAAGAGTGGTAGGATGTGGAGGTTGGGAAGCTGGAGCTGCAGGGGAAAACTGCAGGACTTTGTAGAGACCTTGGGTTTAGCTGTGTGTGAGATGGAAAGCCACTGGAGGGGTTTAAACAGAAGTAGTATGATTTGATTCACCCTTTAAAAAGATCGCTAGCTCCTGTGTTGAGAACAGACTGCGCGAGGACAAAGGTGACAAAAGGAGACCAGTTACTGTGCTGTCGCAATAAATGGCCGGATGGTTAGGACTGCTGCAATTCTGTGGGAAGATAGATGTTCAGTTCGGGACAAGTTTGAGATACCTGCTAGGTACTCAAGAGATAATTAAGTGGTAATTGGCTATCAGACGCCAAAGTTGAGGGGAGAGGTCTTGGCTCGAGAGAGATGTTTGAATGGTATCAAAGACCACATTCTGGATGAAGTCACTTAAGGAGTGAGTATAGATAAGAAGAGGCCTAGGAGGCCGAGGCAGAATCGCTTGGGCTGAGGCCTCACCTTCCTACATTAGAGGCAAGAGAGATGAAGAATACCTAATAGAGGAAATAGAAAACTTGTAGTGAGGACGGAAGGAGAAAAACCAAGAGTGTGATGGAAAAACTCCAAGGTAGAGTAAGTGGTCCACTGTGTCCAGTGCTGCAGATGGGTCAGGTAAGTCGAAGACTGAGAACTGGCATTGGTGTTAGTATCATGGGACCCTTTTGAGTAGTTGCAGTGGAGTGGTGAAGGTTAAAAGTGAAAGCTTAATTGGAGTGGGTTCAAGAATGCAGGAATAGGAGGAAAGGAATTGGAGATAGCAATATAGAAATCTCTTAAGGAGTTTGCTGTAAAGTCCGGGAGAGAGGGCTGAAGTGGAGTGATTGTTGGAGGAAAATATTGGGTTGAAAGCTGGCTTTTTTTCCCATCCCAAGATGGGAGACCTGTTTGTATGCTGATGGAATTCATAGCATGAAACTTAGTAGAGGGAAAAAATTGAATGAGAGAGAGGACAAATTGCCTTAATCGTGACCTTGAGGCCAGAGAAGAGGGAAGGTGATCCATAGGTAAGGGGTTGGCCTTAGACAGGAACGTAGTTCTTCCATAGTTACAGGAGGGGAGGCAGAGTATAGGCTTAGAAGCAAGTGGTTAGGTGGGTGTAGTGGTAGAAGCATGTGGAAAGTTTCTTCTAATTTGCTTCTGTTTTCTCAGTGAAATGGAAAGCCAAGAACATCAGCTGTGATTGAGGCGAGGGAAGGAGGAGAGTTGAGGAGAGAGAAGAGGCTTGAAATGGTCATCTGGAGCGTGGGAGAGTGGGTGGACGAGGGAGGTGTGCTCAGATAGGCAACCACGTGAAGGGCCCACTTGAGACTATGGGCCATACATTTCACATGAGATTAATTAGTGTCATGTGTGTTCAGCTGTAATTTTCAGGTACAAAATAAGAGTAGAGCTGTATTTAACCAGTGTTAGCATTTTTTAGGCATGTGCGACTATAAGGGAGAGTGGGGCAGGAAGTGAAGGGTGTATGTGAGGGAGTGATTGCAATAATGGAGCCTAAGCTGGCTGAGGAGGGAATTTAGGAACCCTGGAAAAAGTAGAAGAGGTTGTGTAATCTCCTTAAAAAATAGCATAACTGAAATTTCAGAGCGAGGGAGACCATGAAAGCTCTCTGGGGCCTTACTGGACCTAGGAATTTTCGCTCCCATATCCTTATATCATTAGACTTTGAGCTATACCCTCCACAAACAGCTTCTTAGCTTTTATTTATTTACTTGTTTGTGTTTTGAGACAGAGTCTTGCTGTGTCACCTAGGCTGGAAGGCAGTAGTGCAGTCTCTCCTCACTGCAACCTCTGCCTCCCAGGTTCAAGCAAGTCTCATGTCTTAGCCTCCCAAGTAGCTGGAATTACAGGCACGTACCACCATACCCAGCTAATTTTTGTATTTTTAGTAGATACAGTAATGAGGTTTTACCATGTTAGCCGGGCTGGTCCCAAACTCCAGCCCTCAAGTGAGCCACCATGCCCAGCCCTTAGCTTTTATTCTAAAGTCAGTTTCTACAGGCATAGAACGAATAAGAAATTATTTCATGGAGTCCAGGCATGGTGGCTCATGCCTGTAATCCCAGCACTTTGGGAGGCCGAGGCAGGTGGATCGCTTAAGTCCAGGAGTTCGAGACCAGCCTGGGCAACGTGGGAAAACCCTGTCTCTACAAAAATATAATTTAAAAAAAATTGGCCTGGCATAGTAGTGCATGCATACAGTCCCAGCTACTCGAAAGGCTGAGGTGGGAAAACCACTTGAACCTGGGAGGTGGAGGTTGCAGTAAGCCATGATGGTGCCACTGCACTTCAGCCTGGGCAACAGAGCAAGAATGTGTCTCAAAAAAAAAAAAAAAAAAAGGTTATATCGCCGGGCGCGGTGGCTCAAGCCTGTGGAATCCCAGCACTTTGGGAGGCTGAGGCGGGTGGATCACTAGGTCAAGAGATCGAGACCATCCTGGTCAACATGGTGAAACCCCGTCTCTACTAAAAATACAAAAAATTAGCTGGGCATGGTGGTGCGTGCCTGTAATCCCAGCTACTCAGGAGGCTGAGGCAGGAGAATTGCCTGAGCCCAGGAGGCGGAGGTTGCGGTGAGCCAAGATCACGCCATTGCACTCCAGCCTGGGTAACAAGAGCAAAACTCCGTGTCAAAAAAAAAAAAAAAAAAAAAGGTTATATCATCAAGTAGCAGGTATTAAAAGCCCATTAGCCTGTGTGCAGCTGCTTGGTTAGGTACATACAGATTTGTACTCTGGCAGCTGGCCATCTAACACAGGGGAGCCAAACAGTGGCCTGCTGCATTCCTGATCCCATACCTCCCTAGCTTTAGCCATAGGAGGTAGTTCTAAGGTGGCTCTTGATTCTATAAAGTTCAGGTTTGACAGTTTTTTTTTTTAACTTAGGGATTTTACAGAAGACCCTTTGTCTGAGCAAAGCTTATATCTTTCTGACCTCATTCAGGAATAGAAGAAGAGAAAAAATGCAATTTCCATAGGTTGAGCTGAGTACTTTTAAATGTCTGCAGGCTTTCTTGCTTCCCACTTCTCCGTTCTTCCTCTGTGGTAGCTAAGACTGCAGGGGCATGCCACCATGTATGGCTCATTAAAAAAAAAAAAAAAAATTTTTTTTTTTTCTGGACAGAGTCTCGCTCTGTCACCCAGGCTGGAGTACAATGGCGCAATCTCAGCTCACTGCAACCTCCACTTCCCGGGTTTAGGCAATTCTCTGCCTCAGTCTCCCGAATAGCTGGGATTACAGGCATGTGCCACCATGCCTGGCTAATTTTTGGTATTTTTAGTAGAGACGGGGTTTCTCCATCTTGGCCAGGCTGGTCTTGAACTCCTGACCTCGTGATCCGCCTGCCTCAGGTTCCCAAAGTGCTGGGATTGCAGGCATGAGCCACCATGTGCAGCCCCCCAGTTTTTTTTTTTTTTTTTAAAGATGAGGTCTCACTATGTTGCCCAGGCTGGACTCAAACTCTTGGGCTCAAGCCATCCTCCTACCTTGGCCTCCCGAAGCCCTGGAATTACAGGTGTGAGCAGTTGTACCTGGCTAGAGCAGCAATGCTTAAGAATGATAAACTAGGGCCGGGCGCGGTGGCTCAAGCCTGTAATCCCAGCACTTTGGGAGGCTGAGGCGGGTGGATCACACTGTCAAGAGATCGAGACCATCCTGGTCAACAAGGTGAAACCCCATCTCTACTAAAAATACAAAACATTAGCTGGGCATGGTGGCGTGTGCCTGTAATCCCAGCTACTCAGGAGGTTGAGGCAGGAGAATTGCCTGAACCCAGGAGGCGGTGAGCCGAGATCGCGCCATTGCACTCCAGCCTGGGTAACGAGAGTGAAACTCCGTCTCAAAAAAAAAAAAAAATGATAAACTAGAAAAAAATTGAGATATTTTTGTCAGTGATCACTTGAGCATTGCCTCAGTTTGTTGTGTGACATTGGACAGATCATTGATTCGTTTTCTCATCTGTAAAATATACATTTGAAAAGTACAGTGGTGGTAAAGCACAGTGGCTCACACCTGTAATCCCAGTGCTTTGGGAGGCCGAGGCAGGAGGATCTCTTGAGACTGGGAGTTCAAAACCAGCATGAGCAATATGGCGAAACCTTATTTTTACAAAAAATAAAAAAACTAGGCTGGGCACGGTGGCTCACTCCTGAAATCCTAGCACTTTGGGAGGCTGAGGTGAGTTCAAGACCAGACTGGCCAACATGATGAAACCCCATCTCTACTAAAACACAAAAATTAGCCAGGCATTGATGGTGGCTGCCTGTAATCCCAGCTACTGGGGAGGCTGAGACAGGAGAATTGCTTGAACCTGGAAGATGGTTGCAGTGAGCCGAGATCACACCACTGTACTCCAGCCTGGGTGGCTGAGTGAGACTCCATCAGTGAATCA